ACTAGTTACGAACGTCGATATGATTCAGCAGTTAAAGGGCTGATAATCGCTCATTACCACCATGGTCTCTGTGTTAGGGAGAACCGTTTGGAGAAGAAAGGGCCCACGTGTGTCTTGCCGAGTGTAAGAGCGAATAATTGTTGAATCGATGAAAGGAACTTATTGCAAAGTAAGGAAATTGCAGCTGATCTGAAGGTCACCTCGGCAATTTCACCGTCCCCAGCTCGGAAAGGAAAGGATTATGAACCAGTTAAGGGCATGCGCAATTATAGGCACATCCTCTGCGACCAAACTCTCAGTAACATGGCCTGTGAAATTTGGCATTGACGTGGGTGACTGAAGGCGTGGAAAATGAATTCCTTTAATGTTACCGTTCTTCGTTATGATTATGTTTCATCATGAGTCTCCGCCCACCTGCTTATCACGGAGAATGTTCCCAGACTGCAATCAGGAGAAAAACTATCCATTAATTATTTAATCATTCAGTACGCTTTGAATGAATTTTTATACGAGGTATCGTATGTATACGTAGTGAAGGGCAACAAATAATGAAAATTCCATGAAAGCTACGCACGAGGTGTTTGGGGACTGATGACTCCGCAGGGGACCTTTTAGGGACCCTTCCTGCAATACTAGAATGCAGGGTACAGCACCCTGCAGCGTACAGCGTAGCATCGTGATGTGTGAAATGGTGGTGTCAGTACGACCCACCCCACCCCCTTCCCCAACACCTACCTACCTAGATTTTCCCCAACTTCCTACCACTTTTTCCGAAATTTCCGAGAAATTCCTTACTTTTCCCCAAAAATTTTGCTGTCGAGCGGGGGATGGGGTTATATAGTACACATGAAACAGGAAAAATCAGAACCTCAACAACTGCGAAAATTTTTTTTCTAAACGCGGCAAATTCCTCTCAAAGCCACATACGCCCCTCCCCTCTCCCACTAAGGACAAATACGACCTCCCTCCTCAGCGGGGAACTACGACCCCCCCATGTGTTTCACACAACGATGCTGTACCCTGCTAGAATGAACCTTAATTAAACTAAAGAATTCCGCCTAAGCCTGTTGTGGGGCAGATCCCTCTTATGAATAAACCACTTTCAAGTACGGCAACTCTGCTCGGATGCCTTGTCATGTCAACATAAGGGCTCTTCAAATGCCCCCTCCAAAGTACTTGCGTAGCTATGTCTAACTTACAATGTAACACGTTGAATAATAAATAGGTCAAATGAATTTCAGGCGAATTGGAAGCTCGTGTACCGGCTAAGACGTGTTTTCTTACCATCGACACCGCATTCCCGCAATTTCCTGGAGCAGAAATGTGGAATCCTCCGAATGTATGGTTTTGTATATATTTTTATTTTATTTACAACAAATCCCTCGCCTGTTAGGGGTGAAGTGATGGTGGTTCATCCAGGTAGCACGTAAGTGACACGAAATGCTACGTATCATGTTCATGACAAGCAAACGAGCTGTATTGACGTCAATACACGTCATCAGCGTGATATGTGACGTCAATGACACATCATCTCTGACTATCTCCTGACACTCAAAGTACTGAACCACGTCCAGCCTTGTTCGCTGTTGGGACAGTTCAGAAAGCTGGGTCTGGCGTAGCAACAACCTATTCTCCACCACGTATTGTGTATGCCTGCCAGCTTCCACAATAGGTGGAGAGCAGCCTGGCGCCGCGCCAAACCGAGCCCCCCACCTCCCCCCCACCGAAGCTCCCCAATCTCCACTGAAACTAGACTGTAGCTGTGCTCGTCAGCGCCTATTGCATGTGAAGGGGAAACATCACGGACGGTAAACAATTCTAGACTATTTACATAGAAATTTTTACAACTATTCAATCTCTGGAATATTTATTGTCCACGAACAAAAAAGCTATAAGTGGATTCGGTATGTGTTTGATATGTGGCGTTACTATCGGTTTTTGGCCTCACGCATCATTTTCCTGGTTCCATTAAACGAATAGACCAAGTGTGGAATCACTTAAGAAGTAGACAGAGAAAATCAGTAAAAACGTGCACCACTATTGGTTTCCCACCTTCATGTAGGGCTAACGACAATTTCTCGTGGTCGGAAATGGAATGCTCTGTGGGCAGTACTACCGTGGACTTCATTACTTCAACATTTTTTTTCAGGGTATCAGCGAGGATTGTTTGAATATGAATATATGGGTACCGGCAAATCACGATGGTTCCGTTCTCGTTTGGATTTTCGGAGGAGGTGAGTCAAGGATAATTTCTTTTTATGCAAAAATTGCTAGGAAGGGAACAAAGAACTTTTCCCTCTACGACCTATAAGCTCGGATTACAAGCTGTCCATGTAAGAGTGCTGTATTCGTATCTATGCAGTTTCCTTTGGAAAGGCGACAGGCTCCATGATCGTCATATGGGAGGAGCAGGGCGTGAATATTGTGCTGTTCCCATTGGTGCGTCCTTCCTTCTGAGACGATAGAGGAGTGCGTCAAGGGGGAAAGCCCGAGCGCAGGCGAAAATCCGCCCATACTATCTTCCTGTAATGCGCCTCTTATCGTTTAATCGAGTATAAACATTCAGAAGATTTTAGGCAGCCGAGTTTTCTTAGTTAAAGAGACCCTCCGAAGCGGTCAGTCATCTAAAGCTAGGATGTAGGATAATATGTGGAGAACTTCCACTCTATTTTAAAATATTTATCGTATAATTGAGTGAATATTAGCTAGCCAAGTATCCTTACCCTCTAGCTGAGAACGCATGCAACATTTAAATGCTACTTTTCATTTTAACCTTGCTAAAGTAGTGTTTAAACAACAGCGATGACGATAGTTCTCTGAAATGCGCCGTGCTTTCAACCTCCAATC